AGAGAGTTTATAGCGTGCAATATATTGACTTTCCCTACGAATAGTAATCTTGCACTAAATCCCGCCGTATAGTGTACTAAACTATTGTACTTGTATAATATACCATGAGGGTTTTACTGTACCATTGTATGCCAATGAAATTGTGTTGACTATACAAAGTGTTTACTAAATGAATGACTATTTGTGTTGTATTAATTTCATATGTAAACTACAACTCCAAATGTACAACATGATCAAAATAGAGTCACTTTTGTGATGTAATGCCAGTTTTTATTGTAATAATTTACTAATTTAATATTTATTTAAATTATTTTAATTATAAAGTGAATTGAATATCAGAATATTCTGTGACTTCATTTCATAGTCTCTATTAGTGATTAAAATGGTTATAAAATGTTTGATATTAATAATAATGAGTTGACATTATATTTCAGTCCATTATGTCATTCATTACGATAAAAGTATATAACAATTAACACAAATTCTCGACACCGTATTAATAGTGTCCTAATATTCAGTGTGTGTTTTATATGTAGTTTTGGGTTTAATGAATATACATCTATTGAATACCCGATTTAATTAACATTGTTTTATACAAATCAAGGTTAGGACCAAAGTCTCTAAATTTAGAGACCAAATCATGTTTGAAAGTATTCACGAATAAATTATTTATATTTATGTGTTTTTGTGACCAGAATTTTATCACATTTAAATATTATATACATAAAAGTTATACGAAATACCAGATAATATGTGAGATATTTATTTAATCACTAAATTATTTTATATTATAGATTATTATTGTACTAATTTATGTTTTCTGATCATGATTTAACGCATTTTTGTTATAAATTAATGTTATCTTATAGATTTCTAAATTACTGTGGGATATAGATGATAAACTATAACTTAAATTAAATCTTCTTAACTTTGATAAATCAACCCAAACTTAGTTAAAAAATGGTGTCATAAATTGAATAAGTTATTAATGTGTTAATAATAACATAGATTTAATATTGCGAATTGTGCAATGATTTGTGTTCATCTAATAAGGTGTACAATTGTTTAGGAAATCTTCGCGCAATCATTACACGCCTCTAATGGAGAAATACGAGAAGATCTCAAAGATAGGCGAAGGAAGCTATGGTATTGTCTTCAAGTGTCGGTCCCGAGAGAGCGGACAACTCGTGGCCATCAAGAAGTACGTCGAGACAGAGGACGACCCCCTCATCAAGAAGATTGCCTTACGGGAGATACGCATGCTTAAAGTGAGTCCACAATCACATGTTTATAGAAATAATTTGGTTTTAATTTAATTGATAAATTAATTTAATTAATTGAATTTTTGTCATAATTATTATACAGCTGCTAAAGCACGCGAATCTCATAAATCTGATCGAGGTGTTTCGACGCAAACGAAA